GCCGCCCGCGGCGCCCCCACAGCAGCAGCAGGCGCACACGCTGACCACGCTGAGCAGCGAGCCAGGCCAGTCGCAGCGAACGCACATCAAGACCGAGCAACTGAGCCCCAGCCACTACAGCGAGCAGCAGCACTCCCCACAGCAGATCGCCTACAGCCCCTTCAACCTCCCGCACTACAGCCCCTCGTACCCACCCATCACCCGCTCGCAGTACGACTACACAGACCACCAGAACTCCGGCTCCTACTACAGCCACGCGGCGGGCCAGGGCTCCGGCCTCTACTCCACCTTCACGTATATGAACCCCGCACAGCGGCCCATGTACACCCCCATCGCCGACACCTCCGGGGTCCCCTCCATCCCGCAGACCCACAGCCCCCAGCACTGGGAACAGCCGGTCTACACACAGCTCACCAGACCTTGAGGAGACAAAGGGTACCATCACCGCGGTCATCATAGAAATGACCCAAGCAAGAAAGAACCGACCAGAATCTCCTTGAGACATTTTTTTTTTTTTTTTTCCTTATTCCTTAAAGACATTGAAGCTAGAGATAACTCGTACACAGATTCCGGGACAGAAACATTATCTCTCCGAACGCATGACCAACTTTCTTGCTAATGAGTGGCCCAGCCACTGGGCTAAATGGACCAGCGGAAAACACTAGAGACTGGCCTGGCAACCTTCAAAACAAGCGTGGAGGCTCATGGAGAAGTGTGTGACCAGTGTGCCCAAGCTCTCTGCCTGTTTGAACTTTGTAATTATTTTTAGCAGTAATTAAAGAAAAGAGTCCTCTGTGAGGAATATTCTCTATTTTAAATATTTTTAGTATGTACTGTGTATGATTCATTACCATTTTGAGGGGATTTATACATATTTTTAGATAAAAAATTAAATGCTCTTATTTTTCCAACAGCTAAACTACTCTTAGTTGAACAGTATGCCCTAGTTTTTTCTTGCAACCAGAGTATTTTTGTACAGATTTGCTTTCTCTTTAAAAAAAAAAAAAAAAAAAAGTACGTGTGTCACTGCATCAACGTAAAAAAAGCTACACAGAATTGTGTTAGGTGATCAGTTTTGGGGGTTAGCTTGGCTTAATTCCGCAGGCTTTCTGATACAAGGAGAAGCTGCCTTAAAAAATTAATAAAGGCCTTATTTTTGCAAATATGGAAGTAAACAATAGTCTAGAGATGTGTTTGGTAAGCTTTATCATGTATATTTTTTTAAGCAAGAGAAACACCTTGAGCCTTAAAACCACGCTGCTGGGCAATAGCGTGCTTCCTCTTTTAGCACATTCCCTTCTGCCTTTGCTTGGTTGCCCCATTTATAAGAAAGAAAGAAAGGAAAGGCGAGCAGAAGAGCTAAAATCTGTTTGGGGAAAGTTTCAGCAGCCAGTAAGTGCCCCACGCACACGGCTCCCTGGTTGCCTACCCGGGCACCGTCTGTCACAGATGACAGGGTCGGCTCTCTGTCACCTGTGCCTCTCTGATCACCAGCAGTTAACCTTCAAGGCATTCCATGCGCTAAAATTATTTATTTTGTAAGGAGAGGTTTTAGTGGGGGAAAAAAAAATCTTCCTTTTTTTTTTTTTCTTTTTTAAATTTATCTTCTTTAAAATAGGTTGTTGGAGCCTTCCTCAAAGGGTATGGTCATCTGTTAAATTATGTTCTTAACTGTAACCAATTTTTTTTTTTATTTATCTCTTTCGTCTTTTTATTATTATTAAAAACAAGTTTCTTTGGATTCCTTGTCCTAGATTTGTACAAACACTTTTTTGTCCATCCTTTTTCTTATATTTCTTAGTGGTTTTTGTTGCAAACAAACTGGAAACATGTTTCTCTTTTTTTGTACAAATGAGAGATTGCAAATGTAGCGTATCACTGAGTCATTTGCAGTGTTTAATGCCACAGATCTCTGGGCTGCCCAACTCCAGTGTGTGTGTGTGTGTGTGTGTGTGTGGGTGTGGGTGGGTGGGTGTGGGTGGCAACAAAACCATGCTAGAATGGGTCATGGATCTTCCCAGGCATGTTCTCTCAGAAGCTGGGGAGATGGGGGAACAGGGAGCGGAGGACAGATAGACCTTCATTACTGCTGTGGCTGGAGAGTTTGAGGATTGCTTTTTAAAAAAGACAGCAAACTTTTTTTTTTATTTAAAAAAAAAGATATATTAACAGTTTTAGAAGTCAGTAGAATAAAATCTTAAAGCACTCTTATAATACGGCATCTTTGAATTTCTGTATAAAAGCAGATCTTTTAAAAAAATATTTCTGTAACTTAAGAAACCTGGCATTTAAATCATATTTTGTCTTTAGATAAGATTTGGTTTGTGTTTGTGTTTTGTTTGTTTCGCTTGTTTTCCCCAAAACATTTTATTCTTTCTGTGAAACTTACTTTCCCTTTTTTTCTCACTCTCTTTTGTTTTTGTATATTATTGTTTACAATAAATATACATTGCATTAAAAAGAAAATGGCCTCATGAATTTATCTGTCCAGTTCCCTGTTAAAAGGATGATAGGAAGAATTTGAGCATAGGACAGGGTGTTAAGAGCTGTTGCTCTGATGGTTTTGGTTTTGTTTTTTAATGTGCCATTCTAGCACAGAACTGTCCCGAGACATCCAAGTGGAAAAATCGAGAAAAGTGACACCCCATGAGATCAAATTGAGGACCCCTTGCCAGTAGGTGCCCAATCTGGCAAAATATATTTGTTGTGGTTTTAATCTCATACGTCAGGGCAAAAACGTTCCTATGTGGAGGTCAGAAGGGACAGTAGGCCTCCGGTAGGTAGCTTGTCCTGGGAAGAGAGTAGGAGAGGGGGACTTGCTGGTCTTAATATAGCAAACTTTCTGCTGGTAGGAACACAAACCAAAGAAATGGGGTGTCTATTTAAAAGGGAAAGGAAGCCAAAGTCAAACAGAGTCTAAAGTGGACCAGAGGGGAGCAGGTCATGTTAACCCATTATGTGCCTCGGAGTCTTCCAGATCTCTCTACAGAGACAATGAAAGGAGAGAACCTATTGTTGTCATTGTTCTCTATGGTCAAGGTTTAACTCCTTCGGAGCAGATGCAAAGCCACAGTAGGAGTCAGGAGACCTAATCTTGTTTTCTTTGGCCTCAGCTAGATGGGGAGTTTCCAGGATCAGAGAAATGTTCAGGTCCTTTTTCATTAACACTTGAAATCATCCATTCCCTACCCCCCCCACAGACACATACCCCAGCCCCAGGGAACAGGAAAGCATCTCTGATCACACAGGCGGCTGGCATGTCAGGCTGGCCTTACGGTTGGGCCCCATTGCTGACTGTCTAAAGCTTCCAAGCCCTCTGGTGTTACTTCACATTGTCTGTTTTTGCTTATTGGATTCCTGGCTTCTGGCCCACACCAGGATCACAGCAACCAGGAAAATGGTAGTTATCAAACTGGCACCATTAGTCCTCAACCTCCTTTGCAAATTCCTTCAGCAAACATGGATGGAGTGCCTGTGCTCTGTGGGACATAGTGCAAATCCTCCCTGGCCCTACAGACCTGAGATGGTGCTCCTTGTCTGCCCAATAGCATCCCATTCGCTCAGGCCCAGAGTCAATCCTACAATGCTTATGAAATCTCCATTATTTTCCCCTCACCAACACACAAAATCCTTTAAAAATATCTCTTTAGTGTTCACTAATTCTCATGCACCCTTAGCCTCCCTGATTCCTTTATCTATGAAAATCAACACATACCATTTCACCACTACCACTCTGTGTCCCTCCCGCGTCTCTACTGTTAGCCCAACTGGTCCCTCTGCTCCTAGGAATATGTTCTGTACCCCAGCATGTGACCTTTGGCAGGACCTCTTAGGCCAGACTTTCTGTTCTCTCCATCACAAACTTGCTGGTGACTGAGGGCAAATTGTTTTAAATTGTCCTGTGCCTCAGTTTCTCCTTTGGCTGGGAATGTTTTTAATCTCTCCTTCTTATGCCAACTTGTTTCAGGAGCAGTTTGATCAAGGAGCATTCTGGGAGACGGCTGCCTCCTGGTCTCTATAGCAGTCCTAAAGAATGGGGGTCTCAGAGAGTGAAGCCCAAGAAAAAGGGTTTTCCACAAGGCCCCCAAGTGGTTCTGATACATCACAAAATACAAGAGACCCCAGGCACAGGGAGAGAATCCCTCTGAATCCCATTCACCCCCACCCACCAGATCTTGTTGAAGCCCAATATCACCAGATTACAAAGTAGTTTAGAGGAATTTTTTGTTCTAAATCTTGTAACACAGAGCTTATCACTCCTGGCAACAACCACAGTGACTGCTCTCGAAACCTTGGGAAGAGTCTTCCACACTAGAAAAAGTTTGTTTATATATCCAGGGTTATTTATTTATTGACTTGCACTCAAAATAAGACCCCTTTTTTGAATGATTTTAACAAAAAAAAAAAAAAAGGAATTTCTTAAAGCAAAAGGGCATCAAAATAAATTGTAGAATCAGTGTAGAATCAGCCTTCTGGGTTATCGTGAAAATAGCCCCACGTGGCTCAGCTTGAGCTGTGTGTTTGAGTTTCCCACCTCAATGCCAGGGCAGCCCATCCTTCCCCTTCCTCTCATTTCCACAATGAGCGTTTAGAGGCACCACTGTGGGACTTGGAAGTTAAATTGCTTGATGAACCATCGCTCCAGCCAGAGATGGATTTACCACAAAGCTGACGGAGCTAAAGCCTCAGGACGCCTCACTAACATAGACTCCTTCTAAGGTCCTGTGCTTAATCTCATATTTATTTATATTTCTTTTCTTAAAGAGCACCCCAGGGCCCAACTACTCCCCCTACGCACAAAAACTGTATAAGTTTCCAAAACCAAAAAACCAAACACACTGCCGTCGAGTTGGATCCGACTCATAGTGACCCTTCCTTGGGTTTCCGAGGCGATGTCACTACGGAAGTAGATTGCCCAACCTTCTTTCCGAGGAGAGGCTGGTGGGTTAGAACCTCCAGCCTTCTGGTTAGCAGTCAAGTGCCTTAGGCACTATGCTACCAGGGCTCCTTCATTTCTCAGAGGGTGGTAATAATTTAATCTCATGGGCATAATGGAGGTTAGAGGAGGTAAACCACACAAGCATTGATTCCTTGCACTCTTCATTTCTTTATCTCCCTCCTTCCTGCTCACTTCTTTTTTCCTTTCTTATACCACCTGCCCCTGCCTTTTCCTAGGGTCTCTCAAATTGATGCCAAAAAGTGGATTGAGCCCTGACCGGGCTCTTCCATCACTCACCCACTAGAACTGTTACTATGCATTTCTGGAGGATGATGCTTTATGAACCTAAATACAACATAGGCAGGCTGTCTCAGATTAGAGTTCCTTCAGAACACCTGGGCTAAATTTGGGACACTATGTGCATTATCTTGAAGCTTCTGCTAGACACTGCCCCCGATTTTCAGGATTTTGTATTGAACTTAATC